ATTTAAAACATCCCAACTAAAACCCATAGACAATTAAAAATCTAACATCTCAAATCGTGGTGGTGGTGGTGGTGGGGTTTACGTCAGCCCTGCTTGGTGGAAAAGTTTTTAGGGCATGGAGAAAAGCCCGGAGATCTGGTATCATGCGTATCTCCGGGGGCAAATCGTTCAAGAGGGCAGGTGCTGCCACAGAGAAGGCCTGGCTGACGGCACCCTGAGGAGTCCCTCTCTGTGGGAGCATACTGGCTGGTGGGAGGCTATCGGTGGCAGAAGGTGGTCCTGCAAATACCCAGGTCTTATGCCATGGAGCGCTTTAAAGATGGTGACCAACATCTTGAAGCGCACCCAGAAGACCACCGGAAGCCAATGCAGCTCACGCAGGAGAGGCGTCACATGGGAGCGCCCTCTCGTTCCCATAATCCCCCACGTGGCCGCATTCTGCACTAGTTGGAGCCTCCGGGTGCTCCTCAAGGGGAGCCCCATGTAGAGAGCATTGCAGTAGTCCAGGCGGGAAGTGACGAGTGCCTGAGTGACTGTGTATAAGGAGTCCCAATCCAGAAAGGGATGCAACTGGCGAATCAGGTGAACCTGATGAAAAGCCACCCTGGCCATGGCCGTCATATGCTCTTCTAAAGGCAGCCATGCATCCAGGAGGATGCCCAAGTTGCGAGTCCTCTCTGTGGGGGCCAATAACTCGCTCCCAATAGCCAGCGATGGCACCAGCTGGCTATATCGGGACGCTGGAAGCCACAGCCACCCAGTCTTGGAAGGGTTGAGTCGAAGCCTGTTCCTCCCCATCCAGATCCGCACGGCCTCCAGGCACCAGGACATTACTTCAAGGGCATCGTTGGGATGGCCTGGGGTGGAGATGTACAGCTGAGTATCGTCAGCATACTGATGGAACTCCACCCCAAAGCCACAGATGATCTCGCCCAGCGGCTTCACATAAATGTTGAACAGAAGGGGTGAGAGGACCAACCCCTGCGGCACCCCACAAACAAGGCACCTCAGGGTTGACCCCTGCCCCCCTGCCAACACCGACTGCATCCGGTCGGAGATATAGGAGGAGAACCACCACAGAACGGTGCCCCCCACTCCCAACCCCTCCAACCAGCACAGCATGATACCATGGTCGATGGTACCAAAAGCCGCTGAGATATCTAACAGGACCAGGATAGAGGAACAACCCCTATCCCGAGCTCTCCAGAGATCATCCACTTAACAACTGCACAATTCACTTAACAAATGCAGTGGTTTGCTTAATAACTCTGGCAAAAAGTCCTTCCCCTGTCCTTACCACTTTTTACAGAGACAACTGAGAGCATCCTGTCTTATTGCATTACAATCTGGTCTGGAAGCATTACTGCTTCGGACAGGAAGGCAGTGCAGAGTGATAGGGATGGCAGGGAAGATTATTGGCAGTTGACTTCTGTCTATCCAGGACATAGCATGTAAGCAACGCTTGAGCAGGGACTGCAGGATTGTCTGGGACTTTGTGGGCTTTGTAGTATCTGAACCTCAGGATTCAGTCATAGTTTTGTTCCATACAGTATCAACCTTGTGAACTATCAAGCTTCCTCCTTCCGATATGTACTCAAGTGGACAGTAATGAACATTTCAAGGCACTTCAAGGTGTTGGTTCTCACCTTTAAAGCGCTCCATGGTTTAGGGCCAGGGTATTTACGAGACCGCCTTCTGCTACCGATAACCTCCCACCGGCCAATACGCTCTCACAGAGAGGTCCTTCTCAGGGTGCCGTCAGTCAAGCAATGTCGGCTGGCGGCCCCCAGGGGGAGGGGCCTTCTCTGTGGGAGCACCCGCCCTCTGGAATGAGCTACCTCCCAGAATACGACTGATCCCGGATCTCCGCACTTTCCGTAAGGCCCTGAAGACGTTTTTATTTCAGCAAGCTGGCCTGGCCTGAATAGGTTTTATGGGTTAGTTTTTTAATTGTATAGCTTTATACAATATAGGGTTTTAAATTGGGAGGCTGATTAATTTAATTTATTTTTAGTCATCTTAACTTTTATATTGTATGTTTTTTAATTTTTGGCTGTTCACCGCCCTGAGTCCCTTCGGGGAGAAGGGCGGTATATAAATTCAATAAATAAATAAATAAATAAATAAATAAATAAATAAATAAATAAATAATAAATAAATAAATAAATAAATAAATAAATAAATATGTATTATATGTATGTATAAATATGTATATATTTATACATATATATATGTGTATACATACACTGGCACACATTAAAAATGAAATTCTGTTGCCTGCTGTGTACACATACATAAAACACATATACACAATACACACACACATACACATATACACACATATATATACATATATACACATACACATCAGTAGTGGGTTTCAATTTCGTTCGCTACCGGTTCACTCATGGGCGCACACACACGATGCTTCTGTGCATGCAGAGATGTCTGGTTGGGTGGGCGGAGCCTCCCCGCCACTGCTACTGGTTCGCCTGATCTGGGGCGAACCAGGAGCAACCCACCACTGATACACACACACATACATATACACATACACACATACATATAATGTGTATATAATGTGTATATGTGTGTTATGTATGTGTACACAGCAGGCAGCAGAATTTCATTTTTAATGTATGACAGTGTGCCCACAGTAAAAAATGACAATCTTTTACCTTATCTTAAAAAGTAGTAAAATCAGATGTGACTTACTTAACAACTGTCTTGCTTAGCAGTGACAATTCTGATCCCAACTGTGGTCATAAATCGAACACTACCTGTAATGTAATTCATGCATGCATCTAGTTTAGTATACAGTTTCTTGTAAATAGTTTAGAGATCACATCGTTCATATTATGTGGTATGGATTGTTTTCCGTTTTGGCTTCCATAGCTTTCAATGCAAATACTGATGTGATTTGGTGTTGGGAATGCCCAATTTAGTGTTTTTGATCTTGCTTTAACAATGTAAGTTAGGCTGGGATGTTACCGAAAAATACAGTAACAGGAGCCTCATTATTGACATACTTTCTATTTGAACTCTAGCCGGTCAGCGTAACAAATTATGCCATCCAGAGTTGCTTTCAGGGTAATAGTAAATGTACGTGGATTGAAGTTGAACTGAAATGTAACTCAGGTCTTTTAGTGCTTGATCTGTCACTCTTTTTATGGTTGCTGTGGTCATCAAAAGAACCCAACATTTGCAGGGTTGGTGGTGGAAGGATTTGAGGAATGCAATCAGCCCCAGGGAAAAGAGGAAAGTGGAAGAGTAGGAATGTAACAAATTTAAGTCAAGGAAACAGGAAAACCAAAGATCCTGTGTTGCTTTAAAAGCAAATGAATTTATTATAGTGGAAAGTTTTGTGGGTCATAATTTAGGTCAGTTAAACGCTGCAATCCCTTAAGGGGAAAACTAGTAATCTTTAAGATACCACAACGTTCTTTTTTAAAAAAAAAAATAAATAAATTGCCATACAAATCCACATTTGTCCGTTCTTTTCTTTCTGGAGAGAGAAAAAAAAATCAGAAATCTTTTCTGAAAGTGACCGGCTGCCAATCCACATAATGCTTACCTGGAAGTAAGCTCTACTGAACAAGGAAAGGCTACGATCGGGTTTTGCAGGTTCCCACACCCAACAGCCTTCCAATCTCTTCCCTTTTCCACACGTGCGAGCCTGGGTTTTCCTCTCTCTCTCTCTCTCTCTCTCTCTTTTTTGACCTTGAATCCAGCTGGAGGCGCAGCACCCGCTTCTCTCTTTCCCTCTCCTTCTCTGCCTTCTAGCAACGACTCTCTCCCGTGCTGTCTCCACGGGCTTCAAGGGCCTTTTTGTAATTGGACTGCTTCCTGGTCATTCTGGCTACAGCTCCCTCCCCATCTCCTCCCGCACCTCGCTACAGCCTCTTCGGGTCGCTTCCTTCCCGTCATGCAAGAACAGAGGTACCTCGGGAGCCTTCGGGAGGCTGCATCAGCTGACCGGGTCTGCAGCAGAGTCAGGATGACAACCCGATTGCAGCATTTTGATGGGGGGGAGGCGGGAGAAGGTCTGCGGCGAGGAGAGTTCCACTGAAAGACGGCAAACCCCCCCTCCCCGTTCCCCAAACTCAGAAGCACCCTCCGTTTTCACAACCGGCTCTTTCCCCATCCCGGTTGGGTTGGGAGGATAGGGGTGGGGGGGTTGTCTTTCTTTTTTTGTTTCTCCCGCCCACTTCTTTCCCCGAGCCAGGCATCCTCCTGCCCTGGTTTACTTTGTTTTTTGACACGCCTTTCGCGAAGGACTGCGTCTCGACAGCTTGACAGACCTCCACTAACAGCCATACTGTACCGTTAACCTTCAGACGCCCCTTTGGGGGAAGGAACGTGGGGATGGGAGGGGCGAGGCAAAGCACGCTGCAAAATCGATACACCATCAGCAACAGCTCAAAGGGGGATCCTTCCGTAATGCACCAGAAAGCCCTCTCTAACCGGCTTCCAGGCTTTCTATAGTCGTCTCCAACTCTCCCCACCCCCCCTTTCGTATCCTAGCTTTCTCTCCCGTCCCAGATGTTTAGACTCCTGAGAATATAATGCAGAGTAATCACGCGCCGATTCCGAGAGGCTTTGCACAAAAACTGCTGACTTGGCTCCCCCTGCCTTTCTCTCCCCCCAAAAAAATTCTAGCCCCGCAAGCTATTAAAGAAAACAGCAGATGTGTTCCGCTCAGTAAATGATCTACTCTCGCCTTTCAATCCTGTCTTGTTAAAACAATAGTTTTAAAAAAAAAATTAAAAAAGAGTTCAGGTTATAGGTTACACTAGGTTTCCCCTTCACCTCCCCAACCGATCCTCTTTATCCCCCAACTATAGGTATGAGACCGGCAGACTCCTGCGGCAAGATGAGTTGCTATAAGCTTTTGCAACCCCTTACCGTGGGATGGTGGAGTGGCGCAAGTGTGTGTGTGTGTGTGTGTGTGTTGAAGGGCTGGGGGTGGGGTGTGAGGCGGTGGCGAATGCTAGGCGAGAAATGCCGATCCAGCAGCCTCGGTAGAGCGGGAGGAGGAAGAAGAGAAGGAGGAGGAGGAAGGAGCCGTCGTTGTGTGTAAGGAGGGAATAGTGTCAGTGGGATGGTCCGGAAATCCCGTGATAAAAAGAGGGAGTAGTGAAAGTAAAGGCACTGTGGGCTCGTTCGTTCTCCGCTACTGGCTCACCGTCGCGCCCGAACCCTATTGGAAGGAGAGAACTTCTTACGTCCGCTCCTATATCCTTCAAACAGAGGCTTTCGCTCCTGAGGCACACATGGAATCGGCTACAGAGGGTGCTTGATCTGCTGAGAAAAGAAGAAAAGCAGCTTTTTTTGCCTTCGCTGCCACTTAAAGGAACGCAGAACTGCGGGAGCGCAGCCACCGAGAAAGGTACCCCCTCCACACATCCCAAACCCCTTCTTTAAAAAGGACGGTGCTGTCCAGGGTGCTGATGCTTTCGTATTCCGTAGCGTATTTTAAGGAGTACTGTAGGCTGGCACCGCCCGGACGCGAGGAAGTGTCCTTGGTGCTGAACAGTCTCTTTCCTCTCTTTTCCTTCAAATACCTTGCCGTTCTGAGCAGCCCCACGGAGTCGGAATTTCCCCTATCTCGCTGTATAGTGGTGGTGGTGGTGGTTTGCATGACTTTATGATTGCATAAATTGGTAGTTGGCTGTGCAGAAGAATTGGGAAAGTATTGTGATGGCTGTATGGGATAGTGTTTTGGTGTATGTAGTGCACATGAACACCTCTCTAAAGTAGAGCTGCAGGCACTGGGACTGGGCTTCCCAAGCACACTCTCCGATGGTACATTACTATTTAAATGCTTCTTGTAAAAAAGTAAGCAAAAAGAAACCTTTTACCCCAATTGTTGTTTGCAATGGTGATGTATGTAATGTCACTACAACCTCGTTGGAATTTGAAACATGTACCTCTTTGGTGCAGGAACTGATCCACCCCACCAATAATGTTAATCATTCTTCAGTCACAGAAGTTTTCAGTTAGAAAATGGTTAATTGGTGCAGCACTGTATTTCCTCTTTATAAATTCTCACGAAGTCCCATTTCCTTTCTTCTTTAGAAAAATGCAGCTAATTAGGGCTTTTCAATGGCATTCTTTTTAAGTTTAATTTAAACATTTTTGCTTTGTTTTGGAATAATTTGTAGCATGTTTTATTTCCTCTGCAGAATCACGGGAGAAGGGCTATTATTGGCTAAATTTCTTACTCTTTTTTTAATAGTGTTATCTACTTTTGGAGTTTTTGTGCATGAAAATTCATAATCATACTGATTTGCAAGATCACTGCCTTAACTTTGGCCATAATCTGAAATTCTGTGCCACAATGACTGTAATCAAATCCATTGTGCTAGTCCAAAGAAAACTTCTGAATGATGTGTGTGTGTGTGTGTGTGTGTGTGTGTGTGTGTGTGTGTATGTATGTATGTATGTATGTATGAAAATCTTTGTGTTTTGGAGATAGGACTAGTCTAGCTTTTAGTTCTCTTTGCATTTGTGATAGTGATGTCAGTTTCAAATAATGGCATATTTTAAAATGTATTTGGTGTTTAACTTAATTTAACTAGCGTGATTGTTCTAGCAAGTGATGCAGATGAGGCTGGCCATTAGAAGCTACCAGCAGAGAAGGCTGCTGTTGAGTATTCCAAGAGCACAAGTACTTCAACCTTCAAATGCCCCCAAGCACTGCCTCTGTTTTGAAGAGCTTTACTTCCCCAATTCTGGACATTTTTTTCAAGCAACCCCTAAGGATTACTGAAGTTTAACTTTGTGTCAGATAGGAAAGGACTAAACCTTATGATTTTTGCAATGAACTTTGGAGCTCCTTATAATGGTGCAATCTAAAAAAAGGAGAGGGAAACCAACTCTGGAAAATCCCATTAAATAGTCATTTTGGAAAATAGATTAAGACAGAGAAAATGGCTATGTTCATCTGTCATTTCTTTGAAAATTAAATTCTACTGGGATTTTATTATTTTTTATAAAATTCAGAGCAAACAGTAATCTGATTCAGGCTAAATTCAAATTTCAACCTAAATTCAGATTTTACTCCCTATAAATTCAGGCTATCCCATGATAACCTAGCAGCTACGCTTTATCAGCCTTCCTAAAGTGCATTTCACAGATTATGTTATACTTTCTAGCTATCCAAAGCATGAGCAAGTAACTTCAGTGTGAGACATGCTGTGTGCATTTTCAGTATGCATGTACACCAAGCGTTTTCAACCTAGCAGATTTCTTAAAAGACAAGTAGATCCACTGCAGAAGGAACTAAGAGAAGAGAGATATTGCCCACCCTAATGCTTTTTTTCCCCTCTTGCTTTGTAAATTCAGCTGCAGGCTGAACCTCAGGAATTTGTCTCCACCTGACTTGCATGTGAGAACCGCTCTGGTGGGAAGGAATCTAAAGCCATCATCATGGAATTTGTAATGAAACAAGCTTTAGGAGGTAAGAACTAAATTGTGCTATTGGGTAATTGTTTAATGGGTAGAAGGAATTGTAAACCGTCAACATGGAATGTATAACAAAAGCCCAGTTGATATGGTGGGTGCTGTTGCGCATGACCTGAATTCATGACTTTTCCTCTGCAGTGAAGTTTTCATTGCGAACAATGCAGATTTCCTATTGACAGCTTTGGTGAAAAGAACCTTGGTCTGCATCACTGAGCTACTAAATGGAATATACAAATAATTTACATTCCCCCCTTTTACATTCCCCTCTCCCAATACGTTGTGTACACCTTAAGCATCCCATAGATCGTTTGTTTTAGATGAAGCATTATTACATTATTGAATTTTCAGTCCAGTAGGAGGCAGGAGTGAGAACTGTTTCAGGTCTATGGTGGTTTCTGAATGATCTGTCCTGAATGCAGAAATACCATATATATTTCTTCTACAATGGGTTCACCAGTGATTCCTCCTAATGAATCGAATAACTGTCCAATTTATTATAGGAGAGGAAAAATTTGCAGGATAAGATTGAATACGTTTAAGTAAATTAAACTGTCATTGCTTTCATTCAAGGGATGGGATATCAACAAACCACATTTTACAAAGAATTAAAGGCTTTGACACATGTTTTTAACTCATTCAACCAGCTCAAAATTTCTCCAGATTCTTAAGGAAAATTCATATCAATCAAACTACTTTCAACTTATTTGCTAGTTGCAATATGTCACCAGGAATTTTGATAACCGGGATATATATGGACATGGAACGTTGCGATAAGAAATCCAGTGCAGCTTGTTCATGAGCGTAGTTCTCGTGAACTGTTTTGGCCACTGTCTAATCTTTTGATGGTTGTCCTATTATATCTGTGGCCATGGGGGGAAAAAAGGAATGTTTCCAGGGACTGAATAAGAAAGTAGAGTTGAGAAACCTGCTGGATGACATTGCTATTCTGAACGTCTTTATGGTGGACTCATTCTCCTTCACTTCATCCAGTACATTATAAAGCATATCTTAAAATGCTCTTTCATTGATCGGCATTTCCAAATCCTATTAAGCCTTAAGTTGAAAGACGCAGACCATTATTCAGATAGTTTGCAAGTCATGTTGCCTTTGATTTTTGTTCCACCTCAAGATTTATCCCGTTAGTGGTAGGATTGTTGTTTATATTATGCTGTGTGGATACAATTTGCAATATAAACACATTAATAAGCTATTTACTTCATCAGCCTCATTTCTATTCAATTTAATTCTGCCTTACATACGAGGAAAATAAGCACTTTTAAAAATTATTTTGCAAATGAACGAAATGAAGAGCGAGCTCCTCGAAATACAAGAAAACAATATTTATTTTCCATTTTTTTTGACTGCGGTTCTATCTCTGATTAGGTGCAGAAATCTCATTTCATTTGAATTCCTTTTTTAAAGGACTTCATTCTTGGAAGTACATAACATGATTCAGCTTTTTTATGGGTAGAGCTGCATCCATAGGGAAAGGCTGACAAAGGACCCAGGAAGCTCTTTTCCCTGCATGGCTCCCCTTCAGTGTAAATACTTCATTGAATTTGGTCATTGCAGAGATAAGTAGGCATACCAGAAATCAGTTTCCTGTTTGGTGGCTTGGTCTGAGAATTAGCAAGGAAGTAAGGAAGTGGATTCCATTAAACCTTATTCTTTTTTCTGGAAAATGCCCATCAGGCCCATAAATGTCGAGGGTTATTTTCACTGCTGAAATTTCAAATGCGCCTATTGAGAAGATTGCTTAGATTAAAAAAAAAACATGGGATGAACCTCCAAATAAAAAAATGTTTCTGATGTGGATTTTCACACTCCTAATTGTAGATCTGCTTAGACCATGAATGGAGCCTCCTGCTCCATAGAACCCCAAATATAAGAATTTTGACAGATGACTCTCCATTTTTGAACACTTGCAGTGAAAGAGAGTCTACCCCTTCTTAGGAAACTCTTGCTCTTACATGAGGGTTTTATTTCTTGACATTCAAGAAAAAAAAAGTGTCTTCCTAGAATGAGAAATCATTAATTGTGGTTATGCAATCTGAGATGATAAAGATGAGTCCAAGTTCTTCCTCTGGGCATCAAATGAAACAAACAAAATGTTAAAAAGTTTTGATATTTGTTTAGTTGCTTACCAAGCACCTCTTAATTATATTAAAGTAACCAAAATAGCTTTACAATCTCCAAGGCATATCACAGCTTTTGAGCACCCATAATGTTTGGAAATTGAAAGCTGAAAATTTTGACATGCCCTATCAACAACATTTGAAACTTGAAGAACATAAACACACATTCAATGGGCAAGAAAGGAAAACTACATTGGAAATTATACAACGTTTCTAAGTAGGAGTGCCAGCCTAAAAGAGAATAGGATAATACTGGAATAGTAGAGATGGGGAACTTATGTCCTCAAGGTGTGTCACTTAACTACATCTCCTAGCATTTCTAATTAATACTGGTTGGGATTTCTGGGAACTATAATTCAATCTCCCCTGAAGCAGCACAGATCTCTTGCACTTTCTTAAGAAAGCTTGGATAAAGTAATTCTGTTTGAAAAGAGGCCTGTTCCAGAAACTGAATTTAGTTTGAAAAAAATTCAGTATAATAATTCTGTCAGAATTTCTCATGGCCAATAGTATCTGATGTGGATGGGATGAGACTGATAAGAAGGGATGAGGATGGCAAAAGCAATGTCAAGGCACTGCTCCTTTTATACATGGATTGTGACATTGTACTCACATACAAAAGGGATGGAGCTTGTTGTGTTTTTAAATACGCAGTTTAAAATCTATAGTATTATTTTCATCAAGGTTGACTCAGCTTTCCATTCTTCTGAGGTGGGTAAAATGAGGACTCAGATTGTTGTTGGGGGCAATATGCTGATTCTGTAAACCGCTTAGAGAGGGCTGAGAAGCACTGTGAAGCAGTATATAAGTCTAAGTGTTAAATGCTATTGCTATCGTTGTGACAAAAGCAGCAAATTGCTGAAGATATTCATAGCATGTCCTTCTTAATATGTTGTGCCTTGATTTTATTATTTCGTATCTAGAAATTTATAGCCATTGGTGCTGGAGATTGCTTTTAAAATTATTCATTATTTCTTTTTTCGTAACATTTTCTTCTCTACATTTTTCTGAAACAATTAGGGGTTTTGCAGGTTTTTTTTAGTCTTTTTTGTCTTCTTGTGAATTTCTTCTGTGGCTAACAACCTTGCTTGGATTTCACTAGGAACATCAGATCGTAGGAGAGATTTCATTTGTATATATTGGATTGAATTAATTAGTTACAGTATACTTGAAGTAACCCTTCTGAGTTCAATAAAACATGAAATAAATATGTTCTAATCATGATTGAATCCAACTCATGACCTTATCCTGAAGCCAATGACATAATTTATGGATCTATATTTGATAGTTTATGAAATATACTAGCTTACAATATACATGTGATTTATCTGTATCTGGTTGATATTGGTGTTAGATTTTCCCATATCATTCCAGTCAATCATTTTTTTAAAAAAATATGAATCATCTACATTTATTTTATGAATTTTTCCTAAAGATTAAAAAATTGATACAGTTTCCCCCCCCCAAATGTGCATTTTAAGCAATGCATTTATCTATCACAGATGCTTTTCTATCACATTAATTCTCAATACATATCTCCTTTTTGCTACATCTATCTAAATAATTTTTATGGTGATAATTTTTTGACTAGAAAGTGACACTGCTGAAAACTCTACTTCACTTGTCTCTGTGTCACAATACCATCTATTTTGGCATTACGTGCATTATACCTTGATTTTTTTCAATCCTTAATATAAAGGAATGGGGAGGAATGGGGTAGGTTGAGGATAGGGAGGGAGAAGCAATAGATATCAAGTTTCTATCATCTTAACTCAAATCAAATTGCCACCTATTTTAAATATAGAAATGTGGACTACTTCAAAATCATACTGCTTGTAGACATGCACAATCAATGGTTAGAAATATACACATGTACTATATTTAATTTTGTTAATTTTGTAGTACAAAAACTCATTAGGAATCAGCATGAGAACTGCTCACTGCATCAATTTAAAAACATCTATTGGGAAACCAGTAATGTTTTGACTAAGGTAGTACATGCATTATTTAAAATTATACATTGTAATATGTTTAGATTTCATTTCTCCTAGATTGTCCCTTTTCAAAAATATCTGTTATATTATATTAAAGGGAGGAAATACAAGTTGTTATAACAGTTTCCTGTTTTCTAATTTGGTGCCTTAACCTCTACGCCAAACTGGCTCTCAGAAAATGCTTCAAAATTTGCTTTCTACAAATTTAGCCTGCAAATATTCTGCAATTGGTGAAATAAATCAGGGAATCAATATAAAGGACAGAGAGGCAATGTTCACCACACAGGCTGGAAATGCTTTGTGAGTAAAAGTGCATTTTCCCTCTTTGGATCAGGCTGAGGTTATAATAACAGGGTTGGCTTCCATTGATTTGTTTGGCAATTTTAAATAAGCTAATTTTAAAGGAGTTGGACTTGGTCGCTGCACAAACACATTAATATAAAACAAAGCAAATTAAATCTACCGAGTCCTTTGATGTGCGTTTCAGAATGTGATTTTGTCATTACCTAGAAACAATGGCAAGCCTGCTTATGAGCTTGACTTTATTCAGAATTGCCAGACAGTTAGAATTCCAGAATTTATTTGCAGCAATATTGACATTGGAACAATGTCATCCAAGTAGTTGCTATTTAAATTCAGAGCAATGCAAGCTGGAGGAGGAGGAGGAGGAGAAGGGAGGAGGAGGAGGAGAAGGGAGGAGGAGGAGGAGGAGGAGGAGGAGGAGAAGGGAGGAGGAGGAGGAGGGGAGGAAGAGGAGGAGGAGGAGGAGGAGGAGGAGGAGGAGGATCTTTTAGTCAGGAAAGTTTATAAAGTTGACTGAGTAGGAATGATGAAAACTGGAGAAAATATAGAGGCTCAATTCAAGA